TTGAGCCCATAAAAAAATGTTGCAAAATGCTAAAACAAAAGTCAAGCTATTATCCTCCTTCCCTCCTCTCATTGCCTCTTGAGAACTTTGGCTGCGAACTCGTCTTCGTCTCTCGCCGGAACTCACAAACGCGAAAACTCATCAGGTGATTTCACCTTCTTCTTCTCCACTTTCTGATTTTTCAAAACCTTTAACACACTTTCTGGATTCTATAGCGTTGGTTTTTGGTCTTGGGTTGTTTAGGTAGGTATAACTAGCTGGTTCTCGAATTCGTCTCTGTGAAGTTTTTCTATCAATTTTGCGAATGGAGGAAGAAAGCTTATTGTACGAAGAAGAATTACAATTATTCCTCAAATTGCCTCCAAGTTACTTAAGTGAAAGTGAGGATTTGATAAGCAAATTACCCGACGCTTTGATATCTCAGATACTCTTGTATCTTCCGACAAAGGAAGCTCTTTGGACCAGTGTTTTGTCCAATAGATGGAAAAGTCTCTGGCTTTTGATTCCCGGGTTGGATTTGGACTCTTCTCAGTTCCCAAATTACGATGCATTTGTGAGTTTTGTGGACAGGTTTCTAGATTTCTCTAGGGAACAGAACTCGTGCTTGCACAAGCTCAAGCTAAGTATTAGGAAAGATGTGAATGATCCGCCTTGTGTCACGCGGTGGATAGACTTTGTAGCTAGGCGTAAACTTAAGCATCTTGATGTTGAGTGTCTTGTGAATCGTAATTTCTTAGAGGTGATTCCCTTAAGCCTTTATATCTGTGACACACTGGTATATCTAAGACTCCATCGAGTATCGTTGGGTAAGTTAGAGTCTGTGTCTTTGCCTAGCCTCAAGACTATGAGTTTAGAACATAATGTATATGCCAATGATGTGGTTCTGGAGTCACTTATCTCGTCTTGCCCAGTTCTCGAAGATTTGAACATGGTTAGAATGGTAGAAGATAACGTAAAGGTTCTACGAGTGCGGTCTCAGACATTAACCAGTCTTAATATAGACTTTTTATTTGGTGAGGGTGATGACATGGTTGATGATTTTGAGAAAAAAGACCAAGGGGTTTTGATCGATGCCCCTAGGCTCAAGTCTTTGAAATTCCAAGATGATCTATCAGACAGTAAAACCATAACCAATTCGGGTTCCTTAGCCAAGGTCGATATTGTTTATGTCTTCAATGAGAATGATTGTGCTGATGTGGTTGACTTACCAAAGCGAAATATGGTTCGGAATTTCTTTACCAGTATCTCGGGAGTTAGCTATATGAAGATCTCAGACCATACTTTGGAGGTAATATACACATATTTTATCAAGTGTTCCTTTCATGATGTTTTTGCTCACTCATATTCTTTTCTTTCTTTTTGTTTTGGCGAGCAGTTTTTCTATTATAACTTGGACTTCGATCCACTGCCTCAGTTTTGCAACCTTTCCCGTTTAAAAGTGACGTTTTCGTTATTAAATCTGGAAATGCTGCCAACGATTCTCAAGAGCTGCCCGAATCTGAAATCACTCGTCTTGGTGCTGGTGATGACTTGCACAACTCTTGAGCTTTTACTGAAATACTTTTAAGAAATGTGTTGTTGTTATCCTGTATTCATTCATCTTCTTTCTATGTTGTGTGTGTGTGTGTTTATAGGATTTTGATCATCTTGACGAGAGAGTGAAAATAAGATTCTCATCCGTACCCTGCTGTTTGCTGTCATCACTCGAGCTTGTAGAGATAAAAAAATTCAACGGAGGGCCTGCTAAAATGGAAGTAGCTAAGTACTTTGTAGAAAACTCAGTAATCCTCGAGAAACTACTTGTGCGTGTGAGCTGTTCCAGGTACGATGAAGGATTCTTTGTGCTAACTGATCTCCTTGCATTGCCCAGACGATCGAGCTCATGTCGAATCGTAGTTTGTTGACGGGTTCTTAGGTAGTTCTATGATCAGAGTGACAGTAGCACATGTCGAATTGTAGTGTTTTTTTTACTGGTTCTGGATGATGTTTACTAGAGATTAAGGGCTCAAGCATATTCAGATTTAACAAATGGTTAAAAAAAAATTTGACTGGTTCTGGATGATGTTTAAGGGCTCAAACATGTTCAGATTTAACAAATGGTTAATAATCGTGTTTATGCGAAAGGCAGCAAACCAGGAAAACAAATCATTGAACATTAGTACAAAACACAGAATTGAGTTGTCGTTTCGAATATTCAAACAAGCAAAGACTCCAAATAGAAAAGAAGGTTTT